AAAACACTGCCGGTTTCCACAGGTGCGAGTTCTCACACACACACACACACACACACACACACATATATATATACACATAAATTAAATGGTTATAAATTCAGCACGTAGTTGAGTTTACCATTTATGATTTATCTATAAGATTGCTTCCCATCTCCCATCCTGTCTTCATATCAGCCAGCCAATCTACTGTCACTCATCCCCATTGTAACTACCCTGGTCCCTCTTTCTTTCTTTTTTCTTCTCCATATCATCACGTAACTCTGTTACAAGATAAACCCTCTTTTTTATTACTACTAATCACACCACTTTTACACTTGTTTTGAATAAACCCGATTTCGAGTTTTTGGATGCTACCTTGAATAATGTTGAGATCGAGTACGAACTTTCGCGAAAAACTTTCATCTTTTTGTTTGGTTTTATGAGATTTGTAACAAGGGAAAAGACAAAAAACACCCCCCCACCCCCACCTCCACCTCCACTACCCCCACACAAGAAAACGACTATGTAATATTGACAAACAATTGGATTTTCCATAACTCAAAGGTTGCCACTTCTTCCATCACAATATTTATTATTTATTTATTTATTTATTTAATTTTGTTGTTTGTGCATTTACTGTGGAGAGTGATAATATCTAGTTCTATATCCATAACAAGTGAATTAAATTGAAGAAAAAAAAAGAAAAAGGAAAAAAAGAAAGTAGGATGGGGCCTAAAAAAGTGATATATGGATGAAGTTATTTGTACCTCTCAAAAAATGGGGCAAGTAGGCACAAGAAGATGTGTTTGGATGTTAAAAATTGGGGTTGCAGACAACATAAGTCATGCTCCGACTGTGCTGCTTCACATGGGGCTCTGTGGACTGGGAATGTAATGTAACATGCCTTGGTTTTTTTCCCTTCTTTCTTCCCACACCCTCCACTGTGTGTCTCTATGTGTTTCTTTTCTTCTTCTTTTTTTTTTCTTTTTTTTTTTTTTTTTCTTTTTCCTTCTCTTCTGTACATGGAAATTTGAAAAAAAATATGCTGTGTCACTTCAGGAAAACAACTAGAGGGAATTGAATTTGGATTGCCTGTCAATCCTTTCATCTTCCCACTTTGCACTAAAGATAACCTTTTTATTCCTCTTGTTTTCTTTTTTTTTTTTTCTTTTTTTTTTTGAGAAAGAGGTTTAATTTAAAAGATTAATCCAATCCTGCATAAGTAGTTAAGACAAAAGAAAGGAAAGAAACTCAAAAAAACAATTCCACCATGATACAGCCCAAAAGGAGAAGATGATTGTGGTTTTCACCTAAACAACGCTTTCAAGTTCTCAAAAAATTTCTGCCCTGTTGAGGGGCGGTAAAGTAATGCTAACTCAACCAATCACTACTTAACTCATAAAACCTCCCCATTTCACGGGTTCTGTAGATATTATACCCGCTGAAATACACTGGATGATCTTGAACGATTGATTTACACATATTGACACATACATTTGATCATGTGTATATGTTTGTTTATACAGATCTACGGTTCAAAATCACTCGATATGTTACACCAGTTGTAGCATCTCATACTAATAATCACTAATTTCATCACCCCTAAATCAAATAAGGTAATCAAAACTAAAAAAAAGAAAAGAAAAGAAAAAATAAGAATCAATGCCAACTGTTATACTCTAAGTAGATGCATCAAATTTTTATAGTAATTATTCGAAAACTCATCGACTATACTCCTTTTCTTTTTCTTTTCTTTTTTCTTAATTTTTTTTCCTTTATTTATTAATAATTGTAAAGAATTGACACGTATTTGATGATAGAGGACACAATCCTTGTATATAAATACCTAGACAGCCAATGTATGCCTTACTCCCATCAAGATTTGCAAAAGCCAAACTCACACTTCTCTTTTTTGAGTATCAAACATTTTGTAGCTACTATTAACAACAACTACTACTACTCCACAACAAATCAAGAAAATCAAAAGAGAAAAAAGAAAGATATGTGTAATCCAAAACCCTCTTCTCCTTCCTCCTTCATCTCTCCTAATAAAACCATTCTCTTTAACCCCACTAAAACCATGGCTGCTGCTGATGATGATGATCATCAAGACCTCCATAGGTGGCCATCCCCTTCCGAGGTAAACCTAATTAATCACTCCACTCTACATACATTTCTTTCTCTCTCTCTCTCTCTCTCTCTCTCTCTCTCTCTCTCTCTCTCTCTCACACACACACACACACACACATGTGCGTGTGTGTGTGTGTGAGTGAGTGTGTAAAAAGTAACATACATTATACCACACATCATATATGTGTATGCATGTCCTACTAAAAAGGGTATCTTCAACTTTGTAAAAAAAGTTCCAAAAATTTACTATTTTTTTTTTTTTTACTTATTTATTTTGTGTTTCTTGATTTTCTTACAGGCCCTTGAAGAAATGAAAGAGATAGGAAAAATATCCGGGCCAACAGCAATCACAGGGCTGATACTATATTCAAGAGCCATGATATCCATGCTGTTCCTCGGCTACCTAGGTGAGCTTGAGCTCGCCGGCGGGTCCCTCTCCATCGGAGTAGCCAACATCACCGGCTACTCTGTAATCTCCGGCCTAGCCATGGGTATGGACCCCATTTGCGGCCAAGCTTACGGCGCCAAGCAGATGAAGCTCTTGGGCCTCACTCTGCAGCGAACCGTGTTGCTCCTTCTTACAACCTCGATCCCAATCTCTTTCATGTGGCTGAATATGAAGAGGATCTTGCTATGGTGCAATCAGGACGAGGAAATCTCGACCGTTGCTCAGACGTTTATCGTTTTCGCGATACCGGATCTTTTTTTTCTTTCCTTTCTTCACCCGCTGAGAATCTATCTGAGGACTCAGGGTGTGACTCTGCCGTTGACTTGCTGCTCCACGGTGTCGGTTGTTCTGCACGTGCCGTTGAATTTCTTGCTGGTGAGGTATTTCGGGATGGGGGTTTCTGGGGTGGCGTTGGCTATGGCGCTGACGAATTTGAATCTGGTGGTTTTGCTCTGCTTGTATGTTTACTTTTCCGGGGTGTATAGGGAGTCTTGGGTGGCGCCGAGTGGTGACTGTTTGAGGGGGTGGTCGGCGCTGCTTTCGCTGGCGGTGCCGACGTGTGTTTCCGTTTGTTTGGAGTGGTGGTGGTACGAGCTGATGATAATGCTGTGTGGGCTGCTGGCGAATCCGAGGGCGACGATTGCTTCAATGGGGATTCTGATCCAGACGACGTCGTTGGTTTACGTTTTCCCTTCGTCGCTGAGTTTGGGGGTTTCGACTCGGGTGAGTAACGAGCTCGGGGCGCGGCGACCGGCGAGGGCTAGGGTTTCGATGATCGTGTCGATGTTCTGCGCGGCGGCGCTGGGTGTGGGGGCGATGGCGTTCGCGGTCCTGATGCGGCACCGCTGGGGGAGGCTGTTCACGGCGGACGCGCAGATTCTGGAGCTGACGACGGCGGCGCTGCCGATAGCCGGGCTCTGCGAGCTCGGGAACTGCCCGCAGACAACCGGGTGCGGGGTTCTGAGGGGGAGCGCGCGGCCGACGATTGGGGCGAACATCAACCTGGGATCGTTCTACTTGGTCGGAATGCCGGTGGCGTTCCTGATGGGGTTTGTACTGAAGATGGGTTTCGCCGGACTGTGGGTGGGTTTGCTAGCGGCGCAGGCCTCGTGCGCCGTGCTGATGCTGGTTGTTCTTTGCAGGACTGACTGGAGTGTTCAGGTTGAGAGAGCCAAGGAACTAACGGCAACACATCAATCTCCGTCGCCGGCGCCGTTAATACTACCGGTTTCGTTAACGGCGGCAGAAGCCATTAATAAAAATGTGCGCAATAATAATAATAATAATAATGGGAATTTATTATGTGATAGTGATGAGTTGGAAAACATGTCAGCTTCAACTGAAACAGATCCTCTCATCGTAATAACTACACAAATTCTGCATTAGCTATTTTTTTTTTAATTTTCTTTTTTTTTAATGGGGCCCTTTGTATCAATTTATGATGAACGAGGGGGGCCGATGTGCAAAATTTTGAATTTTATTTTGACCCCTTTTTAATTTAGAGACCTTCGATTCCACCCCTCTCCTTTAGCTTTTTATTAATTAACATATCAGCTATTATTAAATATTGTTCTCTTCGTTTATTATATTCCTCCTCTTTTTAAGGCACTCTTGTTATTATTTTTTCTTAATTTCTTTTTCATTATGCATTATTATAGTTCTGTTGTGAATGGTGTCAGAGAAAAAGGGATTAAATTAAATTAAATAAATAATAATTTATATGTATACATAGAGAGAGAGAGAGAGAGAGAGAGAGAGAGAGAGAGAGAGAGAGAGAGAGAGAGAGAGAGAGAGAGAGAGAGAGAGAGAGAGAGAGAGAGGGTTAAGCTGTCGGTTGTTTTAGAGACGTGGGAAGAGGATTCGAGTACCCTTTTAGTCCTGTTTTCTTCCCTTTTAGGGCAAAACATTCTCTGCCTAAAATAGAAATTTTTGTATCCTCATTATTCATTTTTTTAATTTATATTTTATTTATTTTCATTAATTTATTAACTAATCTTTTCTCATGACCTGGCCTCTTCATTAAACCTTTAATTATTACTGGCACATATTTAATCTTTTGTTTGATATGTTATATTGATTATTTGATATTTTTTTATATGCTATCAAATACTATTTGGTATATATATTGTAGCAAAAAAGAAAATGATAAAAGGAAAATAATAAACATTATTGTTGCAATTGCAGTTTTCGATCAACTCCTCCAAAATGACATGGCATAAATTTTTATTAAACAATTAATTTAAAAAAAAGTGATTGATTATTAGACAATTATTATTTTTACCTTCATTATTCGTTTCATTTTTGGTTTTTTTCCATTAATTGCAAATATTACTTCAAAAAGAAAAGAAGAATATTTAGACATTCTTCTCCATTTTCTTTATTCTTTCTTTTGTCATAGTTTAATTAAGTTTAGAGGAATAATTAGTGTTTTAGGAGAATAGTTCTTAAATTAGTAAAAGGTCAATGGGCAAAAACTTTGATTGATTAATTTATTTATTTTATTTCATGAATTTCTTTAATATTCTTGAGTCAAATACAATTTCTTTATTAGACATAATCATTGTTAGAATCAAAATAAAAACCTTATCGTATATGAATATCTCTTTTTTACTTTGCATAGAGATCTTAATTATCATCTCCTATAAATCACTAATTAGATATCATCAATGGGTAACTTTTACCCTTTTTTATAAGATAAATGATCCATGTAATTATCATGTAGGGTCTAATTAGTTATTAAACACAATTAATTAATATAATTAACTAATAACGTTGTTGACTTCAATATAGACAAGACAATAATTCATCTATATTTTTGGATAAAATTTAAAATCAAGACTACATATTAATTTGTACAAATTAAGCATCTGCATCACACTGTTATATTTCATGGCATCCCATATACTTCAATATTATATAACATCTTGAAAATATTCAAAAACCAAAATAAATAAAATAATAATTTACTTTTAGGATTGAAGGAGAATTAATATGGATGGACACATCACATGCATGTTATATATATATTATAAGTTGTTTTTTAGTCAAATTAAAATCCATGCACATATATGCATGAGATCACCATATATATAATTATTAATTACATATACACTTTGAAGAAAAATAAATGTTGAAACCTTAACATAAGCATACAATAAGTTCATATATAGCTCTTGTGTGTGTACTGTGTAGTGTGATGAGGTGCATGTATCTCTATATGTGTACGTATATGCTTCCAAATTCCAGACAGAGCATGCATGCAGTGATAAATGATAATTGGTGTAGAGAGAGAAACGATGAGAGAGAGAGGGGGGCCCTGGTTTGCAACTGGAGAAACAAAATCCAGCTATTATGCGCCTGTTTGCTTCTCTCATGACAAATTTTTCAGCAGTGCCTCTGCACAACCAGTTTCAGGCCCCCACGCCCATACCCCCATACTCTCTCTCTCTCTCTCTCTCTCTCTCTCTCTCTATAATATATATATCCCGTTGTTCGTTGGTGCGACCTGGTTGGTGGAGTAAGAGAGTGCGAATCCTTCAACGCCCTAAGAATTGAATGAACCAAGTTCACCTATACGAGATCAAAATAACCCGAGTCTTAACCCTAGTGTGGATTACATTTCTCGTGTGGCTTATAACTTGTTTTATATATATATAACTTCAAATTATTAAAAAAAAAAAAAAAAAAAAAAAAAACTTGAAATTGTTATCCTTTTAGTTATAATGAAAACTTGCCATTTTAGGTGAAACAAATGGCTGGTAAGTACAACCATTAATAGTTATATTGATACTATTTACTGCGAAACAGTGTGTCCGTGGGTAGAACATGTTCCTTCATCTACTAACATATACATACATGCCCCTTTTTGAGAATTTGGGAAACTTATGTGCCAATTTTAAGAATTCGTAAAAGTAGAAGGACTATTGCATAATTTTCTATATTATTTTATATTTTAAGAACTCCGGACTATATTATACATAAATATATGAATCCGGAGTTGTTCTACATTTATTTTATTAATTTATTAATAATAAGATATATATATATATATATATATATGGCTAGAATGAATGAGGGCAGGCCATTTGATATTCTCCACACCTTATGAGCACAATGCTATAATTCACCTCTCATCTCTCACCCTTTCTTATCTTCTTTATTCATCTTCACACACACACACACACACACATTTATATATTTTTATTTTTATTTTGATTTAAAAGATAGGAAAAAGGGTAAAATAATTCAATTTTTTGTTTTGGCTGTTGCAGATGAGGCCCTTTTTATTGTGTCATACACTATTCTGTACAATCCAGTACACAGTGTAAAATGATCATGACTACTTGGAATATATGTGACAATTGCTTATACTCATATTCATTTCTAATATTATATATATATGTTTGACGAAAATATTTAAACTATAATAAGCTAATGGAGGGAAAATTGCAAATTTTTTGTCCCAAAAGAATAAATCATAAAAAAAAAAAGTTAATTTTTTCTACATTATTTTTGCAACCTTTTCAAATTTTCTTGTTTATTTGTATTTTTTTGCCAACGTATTTATAGTTTTTTTTAAATAAATAAATAAATGAGTACAATCTTGGAACTGGAAAACGAGGTTTTGTGGTCCTAACTCCTAAATCTAATTATACCCAAATGAAAACTTGGATAATATAATCCACCACACGGAACAAAGTCATTCAATATATAATATTAATTATATATAAAGATCTAGATACTATATTATATACCACCCCATATTAATTAATTAAAGGGATAATTAGCAAGACCCCCCTCATCTAGGTAAATGAGTTAAGAAAACCCCCCCTCCCAAAAATAATTAGAGAAAACCCCCTTACCTAATATCCTACCCAAATATTATTTAATAATTCCCAAACCACCCTTATTATCCCTAACCCATTGTCGTTCTCCTTTTTTTTTTTCTCGTCTTCTCTCTTCGGCCGTTCTCTCTTCTTCTTTTCTCGTCTTCCCTCTTCTCTCTTCTCTTGGCAATTACCTCCTCCATGGATTATCGGTCAGAGGAAGATGTCTTTGTGTTCGCCACCCAACTGGCCATGGCGGCGGTGTTCCCAGCAGCACTCAAAACGTCCGTCTCCGCTCGGGAACTCGCCGCCCAGCTTCCCGCCGCCGCCAATCTCGATGCACACGTCATTGTTAGGGATTGGTTTCGAAGGAGAGTTGGATTCTGATGGGAGTAAATCAAGGCCCATAAGCAATTCGGGTTCTTTGGTGTTAAAATAGTTAGAATATGGAAGTGGGATGGTGATGCTGTGGTGTGGCGACGACTGGTGATGATGAAGAACAGATCTAGGGTTTTTTGGTGAATTGTGGCGGAAGACGGCGCAGAAAAAAAAATTCGCGCAGGCAGGGCCCTTAATCGACTACGTGGTTTAATCGACTATGTTCAATAGTCGATTAAGGCTTAATCGACTATGTTCAGTAGTCGATTAAGGTTAACCGACTCTAGTTGTTAATTTTATTTTATTTTCTGATTTTTTGTTTATTGATTCCAATGTATAAATCAATTACAATGTTTGTATTTTTTTTTAAATATAATTGATTTTGTATTTTTTTTGTGATTGTGATTTGTTATTTTTAATAGTTAAATTTTTAATCGACTATCCATTAATAAACCTGATAGAGAAAAAATTAAAAAAATAAAAATAAAAATTTAAAAACAAAATTAGAAACAAAAAAAAAGTTAAAAAATAAAGAATTTCCTTAATCGACTATGAAGCATAGTCGATTTAAGACTAATCGACTATGCTTCATAGTCGATTAAAAAAACGGAAAAAAAAATAAAAATAAAAAATCGCGGAGCGCTGACCCAGTGATGAGGTGGCGGGCGGGGGTAAAGCTGGAAAACATAATGGCTGAAAATGGGTGTGGACTTTTCTCAAATGGACTAAAATATTTTGGGCCTCCCTCAATTAAAAAAAATAGTGAGGGGGTTTTCTCAAAGAGCCCCTTAATTAAATAGCTCTATAACCGAATTTACTTACTTAGAAAATGCAAAAAGTGCATTGACTCATTAGTTTAACTACACAATTGTCAAAAAGATAATCATAGTTTATTTAGCAATTAGCATACACATAATACAAAATGTTGCAGCATTAATTCACAAGTATATATATAAATATTTAAAAAATAATTCAATTTCGGTATTTAGATCTAAGGGAATCTTTATCTTGGTAGTGGAATGATATTTCCAAAGCCATCACTTTCTCGAAGTCCCATTGAAACTTCTGATCAAATAATATCACGCCACGTGTCATTAGTCTCAACTATTTTCTTAATCTGGTAATCCTACCAATAGAATCCTTATGTTTTTGGAAAATTTAAATATTAATTTAAAATGGAAAAGAAATTATGATATTATTCAATATATGGATTAAAGTAAGCAAAAATAAATTACTAACACAAAGTTGGAGCCGCCCCACACCATTAAAAAGAAACATGAAGTGGGATTTAGAGATAATATTTATATATATACATATGTATATTTAAATACTTTTATATTTATTATGTATAGAGAACTAGGTAATTTTTTTTTAAATTGTTCATTATTAACTAATAAAGGGCCTTTTAGCAAAAGAAAAATGTCGGCGAGATAGATACATATGAACTATGATCGAAAGGTTAAAATTTGGAAATCGGTATTGTCACTATTTGCTTCGAATTCATCAAAAAAAGTCGAAGCTAGAAACCGGAACAAGCATTTGTACTTATACTTAACTTATGATGTTGACATTTTTTTTTCCAAAAAATCACCATTATATTATATTATCATTCCCTTATTGCCCGTAAAAGAAATTAATATTAATATAATTATTTAAATTTAGATAGATAAGAAAAAGATATATGGTGAAAGCAAAAGAGCACTGAAAATATGGACATTTTGCAAATGAAGTATTGTGCCCACTTCTATTAACAGGTGTTCAAAAAGATAAAGAAGAAAGAAAAACCTGCACATTACCGAAAGTCACAATTTTTTTATTTTTTTAAGGGTGATAATCATATTATTAAAACTTAAAGGTGCAAACTATAAATAAAGAATTGATTAATTTGAAGTTATGTTGTCTAACCTTTCAATGATGAGTATAGCCTACGTGGAAATTCAACTTCTTTTATTTAAAAGACACGTGTCCGAGTTATGTCCGTCTAGTAATGAGATATGCATGGGAACTTGGTTAAGTGCTTTGAGGATTTTGGGCCCATACTTGAATTATTTTTTATTGAGCCCAATATTAAAGTGTAGCCCAACACTGGATTTAATGAAGATTCAGATTAAAAGTCTATCTCGAGTGATCTTGATCATCTATTCTTTCTTGACTGATCTTGATCGTTCAATCAGTAATTCAAATGGTTCTTTCAACCTTAATCTCTCTTTCATCTTCTCTCTCCTTCTGCAGTACATTCGTCATCTTTATAGTCCTCGTCGACAATGTGTGACTTTGACTCTGTAGCACATTTAATGCTACTTATCGTTGTTAGAGAGAGACGAGGCTAACATGCTCCACTCAAATTCAAACTCTCTTCTAATTTCAATCTTCCTCTTTTGTTAGTAAATTTAATACTTTTAGTGAAAATTGGATTTGGCGAGTGATTAAGAGTGTTCCTAGTTTACTGGCTGACCGAGCATGTATTGGTGAGTCAACTCAGTGGTATGTACTGATAGATCTAGGGTTTCTAAGTCGGAGTAAATACTTTGAACCTGAAATCTATCTGTGCTGCTTTTATTATTTTATGCCAAAAAAAAATAAGTTTGCCGCTCCGGAATACCCGTAATTTTCTAATCAATTACGATGGAAAATGCTGACTCCGCCACTTAGAACTGAATATTAAAAGAAGAATAATAACCCTTAACTTGCCCTACTCCATGTAGCTTGGATGGACTATAGTTACATAATAAACTTAAAATATAGCTTGAGACGACAAAAATTCAATTATATGGCCCTTTTAATTGGACATGTGATTGATTGATAATATTGCTGAAAAAAATGCACTTTCGCCGGTGGAGATATAATGCCTAGTTTTCCTTTTTTCTCTTTGCCATAGACCAAAACACTTTAATTTCTTCAATAATAATAATAATAATAGCATTTATTATTGCGGTGCGGTGCATCGTAATAATTGTACATATAGGTTTTCCGTATAGTCAACTGTACTCATAAACATCTGAAGCTAGGGTTTGGTCATCGGATGATGATCCGACGGTCCACATTAGATCTTGGTAGTCATGTCACACCTGATCAGGATATATAATTGCACCAAAGATGTGTCTATCTATTTTCATAGCTCTAGCATGCGTGCAGACTAGTACTCTGAATTTGTCAGGCAGAAAGAGATCAAGATCAAATGAATGAAGAATTCAAATGTGTATAATTAATAATTAAAAATTAATTGGGTAGTTGGTGTTCTTGATAGTATATAGTTAGATTCAAAGATGCGAATCGTGTGGCATTCAGCAAAAATATATGTGGCAGAGCCGTATGGTTTTTCTCTTTATCTCCAAATCAATGGCCAAAATACCAAATTTAAAGAAAGGGTCCACTTTTTGGTTTGGTTTATCAACCATATAGGTCCGGCCACAAAGATGGACCATTTTCCACTGCCAATATGTATGCACTATACATATACATATATATATCCATGCAATTAATTTAGAAAAACCAATTTGTTTGTTACTTTTTAAGTGGGGCATGGTGTAACGGTGGCAGAGTCAGAATTTTTGTCGTAAAAAATAAAATTGAATAGTATCCTACTCGAAAAAATAGTAATAACAAATTTCATAATAAAATATTGGATGTATTTGATTATTGAGACGCGACATAGGGTCACGACCCTATGCTGGCTGGACGGCCCACTACAAGGAAAAATGGCATCAGTGACATTCCAATAGTGGCAATTATCAATAGTTGTCACTAAATAGTTACATTTAGTATAACATTTTGTATGTTATCGCTAATAGCTCATTTTTGTTGTCACTAATTTTTTTTTTAATTCTCAATGTATAGAATTAGTGACAAAAATAGCGACAATATTTTTTACCTAACGATGTGACAGCGTGTCTTGACTCAAAATGTGTATATATATTGGGGAGGTGGGGAAGGGGTTTCCATTAGTAGGGCATAGTGTGTTACATTGAGGGAAGTAAGAAGTTTGACAAATTGAGGGAATTTGTTGTCCGTATTCGACTAGTCTTGTGTGTTTTTTATGCATGCATTACAATTTTGAAGGCGACCCCTCCTAATTAGGAATGTCTCTAAGAACCATCTTTATGTGTTGGCCCCACCTTGTGCTTTCACACACACACACACACACACACACATTGCATGTGTGGTTTTTTTCTCTACTAAAAAAAAATATCCCACAAGAACAAAGTCAATTTGCTAAGCCACTCTGTATATATATGTGATGATTAAAACCAACTTTATTAATGAAAAATGCACATGTGTGGAAAAAAGGGGGGAAATATGTTACGTTTACGGAGTGCAAAGATCGAAACGTGGACGATTAAATAGAGAGACTTGGCTTTGAAGAAGCAAAAAGTGAAGCGGCATCAATTGGAAAGATAGATAGATAGATAGATAGATAGCACGCACGCACAAACCACTGTTTTTGACAAATTTGTTACGCCTTTTCTTGCTAGTGTTTGACTATCAAACTCAAATAATAGCCTAAACAAATTCAAATGATAAAGGAATTGGCCAAAACAGCAGTCAAGAGAGATACTTTAAACGAATAGAGGAGTCCAAGAAGCATGTCTAAGTTAATTTTATTTATTTTCTTAAAAAAAAAAAAATTTGGTAAATCGGAGTGGGGGTTTGAATAAATGTCGGCATCACAACCGAAATGCAGTCGTTTGATAGGGATGAGATTTAGTGTATGATGGAATGATGAATATAGACAACCACTAATATAACCACAAGCCAATTATCCGGTACTATGATCCACAAAATGATGATGAATTTCTTTTGACGATTCAATAAACATTACGTAACGAAAGCCATGTGTCTCGTTTTTAAGAAGAAAATTAGATACTTCGTGAAAACAACGCATTAACCAAATTTAAGAATGTTCCACACGGAATATTAGATTTATGACCAACTTGCATAGAAAAGTAAATAAATCTGGAAAATGATGAACAAGACACAAGTTATAACCATTGAATCCGACTAGTAGGATGAATTTTTGGTATTTCTTTGGCATACATACAAAGTGACTGTTGATATTGATACATACTACACCTGTAACTCAAGTCTGTGTAGTGGTGTCGGGTTTTGGAAATAGCTGAAATGTTCATCGGAACATTCGGTAACTTCTTTCATGCATACAAAAAAATTACCTTTTTTTGGTGCCTTGACGGAGACACCCCTAATGCACACACATACTACTACTAATACAAAGGGATTATTGATTACAAAGAATGCCTATAGAATAAGCGATAACCCCAGCACTAACTACTGAAATACGCGATAAGACGAAGAACCACTGGAACACACCCCCGAAAAAAAAAAAAAAAAAGAAAAAAAAAACTACTACTAAAGAAAGGTGGCCAAAAATAATTATTCCTGAAATTCTAATGAAAACAGCTGGCTCCAGGCCCGAAAGCAAATTGCAGGTGAGCCCGTTGACACGAAAAATGAATGTGTTCCCTTTTGGTGTTTGGGTGTGCAATGTGACACGTTTCTGAAGTAGAAAACCTCCGGATTTTGCTTAAACGTAATTTATAGGGGTTCTCCTCTCAATATGCTTTGTATTAAGTGAATGTTGTCCCGCTAATTGATGAATTTGGATCTGAGGCATGCAAAGATGAAGTAACCTGTGGTTGCTGAATGTGTGTTTCAGATGCCAGGCCAAGAAGCACTAGTGTTGACCTGTAACAGTTACACGATTAAGTAAAGGGTTATTTAAAACCTCAAAACTTCAAAATAATACGTTTAAAACATTATTTTGCATATCCATCATACAGTTAAAAAAAATGTAATGAACTAATACGCAACATTTGACGAACAACAGTACCCAGTATATCTTCTCTACAGTTAAGCTGTAACTTAATGCATCTACTCCCATTTAAACACATAGCACATTGTGACAGAATTTTACTAATGAATGGATGTGCCGAGCAACAGTTAAAATAGATAATTGGGATTTTTTTTATTTCTAACCGTTCCATTTGATTTTTATTTTATTTTTCTCAACCTAATACTAAAAACATACAGTAATGAATTTTAGAACCTTAATCGATAATAATTGTAGTATTGGTGGTAATGACATATTCATCACATTCTTGTGTCACTGCCAATATTCCTCCTGCTAATGAACTATTTCTTATAAGATTTACAAACGCTGGCAAGAAGTTTGTTGCCTGCTTGAGAGTTAAAGAAAATTCAGCATTATGCAGATAAAATTAACAAGAGGCTAAGACAAACTAATTAACTGAAGGGTGGGAATAATTAGCCGATGCAAGGTACGAGTTGGCATACCTAGGTAGAGAGGTTTTACTATTGGATTGGTTCACGAAAGCAGTAAGTGGACCACGAAGATTTGGATATTTGTTCAGAGCACTCTCAAGTGGAGATGATGGCAACTGCACAAGCAAGAAACAGAGAGGGTTGAAAACGAAAGACAGAGGACGAACAAGGGAACAACATACACAACATTTGAACCAGAAAATACCTGTAGCAATACATGGAAAGAATGCGGCTGCGTTTGGGAAATACATTTCAAGAAGCCAACCCATAGTTTTGGCATTCTCCATACCTGTGGTCCATTATTAACATAAAAAATGAGTTGCCTTTCACATTCTACAGTGGCTGGAAAATCGTTAGGAAAATCACACTTCAAGCTCAACTTGACATACCTGTCTGTTTACAAGTTTCATCAGGATTTCCATGACAAAATCCACCTAGAATCAAATCATCAATAAGAACTATGAATACCAAAAGTGACTCGGTCTTTTACACAGTCGTAAATGACTTGAAGAACAAAGCCCACGCATACTATGATTAGTGAAGAAAATAGAATTACCAGTGTTGGAAAAGCATCAATTGCTTGGATTACAGTTCTCATGTAGAGCAGTGGAAGTTGAGTGCGATCGACCTACAAATAAAAATGAGCGAAGTTGATAATGTGTAGCTAGAAATCATTGCATTCATGCTACAAAAGATATATATACCATCTGGTTTAAAGCCTTTGCCAGGACTTGTTGCGTAAAAACCGTGCGCTGCTCAAAACAAGCTGAGCAAGCATCCGTGATCTGAAAGTTAATTACATGACAGTATCAGACCAAATATACGTGATAATGCAAGCACAAATTTACACTTCAATGACCTAAGAAGTTTTAATCCTAGATCAGAAAGTCATGAACAACTAAGGATGTATACTTTTATGTTGCAAAAGAAGAAAAAGAAAATGAGGGGTGGTATTAGATATTTAATACTCATCTTGTGTATATATGACATGAAAATGCCTTCTAGTTACTACCAAAAAACAAAGTTTTAACAGGAGGCTTAGACAAGGACCTTTTTCAGCGGAAGACCATCTTTATCAGGAGAAATATCATGGATTGCTACCAAAACTTCAACAGGTGTTAATGCAGGACCTGTATGAGCAGAACCCTGAAAAATAATTAGGTAATAAAATCTTAGAAACACGAGAAACCAGTTATAAATTGATCAGAAGTCCAAAAAATCTTTCAATGCCATCCTATGTGTTGAAAACAGTTCATCTGGAACAATGCCTACATGGTTCAAGATGGATACATCATGAATGCATGACCACTCAATCAAGACATATAATGGAATTCAAAACTAAATTAAATTAAATATAAATTGCGATAGATGACCGCTAAACTATTACTTCGAAAAATTACTTTCGAACAAAATTAGTGTTTCGATGACTCTTTAGTTCTAACGGGGTGCTGAAAGTATTCACTGTCTATCTTTCTCCAACAGTTGATTCGCCACCTATTATTTTCCAACTCATCATTTTTTTCATATTTTATCAAACAACTACCCAGGGCATGAAATTGCATTCGGAAAATCGAGTATCTGCTTCCACAACACTTATCACTGTTTACTTGAAAACAAGGTCCTTAACTTTACTTCGACCTAGTTAAGAAATTGGATATACAGATTACAGATAGTAAGAAATTAATGTGCTTGGAACTTGGAAGTGTCTAAACGAAAATGAATTATTGTAGTTCTCTTTCTCTCACAGGCCACAAATACCAATGAGCCAAATATTAAATATTTGTATTAATGCTCAAGAGAGAGATAACAATTATCGAACTTATAGATACCTGCAAAATATGAGCAAGTGCAGTCTGAAACTTGGGTAAAGGAAGCTGGACAAGCCGAGGGAAAATAGGTAAGACCTGGAACAGGATAAATAATCATTAGATGAAAATAAAGAGAAGCTAACCAAAAGATCAAACAAGTTAAAATGATTTCGCGAGAGCATATATCAACTTTTTCCGACCATTAATATGCTAGGTGCCTTTTGCTTGTTCTGACAACTGAAATGAAGGAAAAGGGGAAAACTGTATGACATATGTCATATTTAACTTCGTGCCTATTATAACTGTTACACTTTTCAAAAATGATTTTTTGCTTTCTTATGTGCATGGTTTGATCACATTTTCAGGTTACCAGCGTATATCCTAACAACGTATTTCACTGAAGACATCAATTGTTAGATTTTCAGCATCAAGCCAAATATACATTCTTTTTACGGATTCAAATTCTATTATTGTCAATAAATTGCAAACTATTTGCATCCGAGCATCACTATAACGTATTAAATTCACATTTAATAACAAGGCTAAACAGGATATGGGTCAGCACCTCATCTCTAGAAAAGGCCGAAAGAATTGGTATAAGAATAGTAGCATCCTGCAAAAGAAAAATCTCATGATGAACAAAGTATTAGAAGGTTATGTCTAATAAGTAGAAGGCGCATAAATTGGCACTAATGAGAACCTTCAGTTTGGTCTCATATAAATGCTTGACAGTCACTACTAAATCTGGAGGTGGTGTTTGCCCTTCAGACAGTAAATGAAGAACCTTTAGATAAAACCAAAAAACTGTTAGCATTTTAGGAAGAGTATTCAAGAGGAAAATATTGGAAAGTTAAGAGGAATTTGAGTAGACTTGGATAACCAACCTGTATCAATAAATCTTCACTTCCGTGGGGTGGATTAGATATTATATGAAGCAATTGAGAATATGACGACCCCAGAGACCTCACAAGAACAGATACATGACGATGTACAGCCTGCACAAGAGAATCTTAAGAGTGTTTCTTGAAACAGATTAACTAATTTAAAGCTAGAAGACAGTAGTGCACCTTAACCAATATAAGTTAAGCTACTACAATGAACAAATACCTGCTTAACAGCCTTTGAGGCCCGCCCATAACTGTTAAAAACAAGTTCTAGAAGAGTTGGTTTCTGCAAGGAAACAAAAGCAACATAAGCAAGGATTCCAAATAACCAAAAGATACAAGTACATCTTTTCTCTCCCATGTATCAAAGGGTAACATCCACCAACCTTTGCGCATAATGCGAAAAACAAGGACATGAGTCTGTGAGATTGAGAAAACACACTTGACGAATCATCCATGGATGCATCCTGTATGACACTTGTGGATGTTTCAGAAATCCCAGGCTCTGAAACATGAGATCCACTTATCGATGTTTCCATGCTTTCTACCTAAACAAATTTGAACAGGGAGGAATAATTAAAATGGCTGTCCATCTAACCAATGTTTAATAGAAAATCTTTACAAAATTACAGTTATGTACTTAACCATTCTTCAAAGTTCAAAAGTTATGTACTTAAGTATTCTTCAAAGTTCAAAAGAGATCATACAGTCCAGTGCCAAGTAACGTGGTAACTTTTCAAAGGCTTTCAGCTTAGCATTAATCATCGACAAGCAAAACCAAGAACTATGGTATCTTGGTTAACTTTAACCTTTACAGAGACCCAATGAATAAAAATACGATATAGAAGAACATTCGTGGATAGGGTGACTGCTGACTGTTTAACCAAAAAATGAGATAATTCAGATATGTGTGCAAAACATTCAGAGCAAGCCAGTCTCTCATAAAAGGTATGGCCCTCTACCAAATGAACCAAGGTACATACTGACAAAAACAGATCGTCAGTAATATAGTTAAATGAGAAAGTAGCATAGCAAGCTCAAATACATAAATCAGCATATCGGGCGTAATAAGACAAAGAAACAGAACTTGCGAACCCTTTTTCACCCAAAAGACGAGAATAAGTGTGACCCGGAGAAATTTTTGGGAGGATTACCAGACATATGTTATATATACCAATAAAGAGATGAACTTGCAAGAAACTCTGGCACAAATATTTTTAGGACTATTTAGAATCCTTGTTTTTGCTCTTTAAACTTCATACGAAGAAAAAACATGCAAAAACACGTGCATTAAGTGTATGATAACTTGTAAGAAGTTTCAAGAAATGTTCATCTTCGATACAAAGTGTGTGACTTCACCTACCACAGATAATGATGGATCACCACTGTGTAGGACAGTTAAGCACTAACAATCAGAAGTACAGTAATACATGCCATCTATCTGCTTAAGCCTTCAACTAATACCATTTGCAGAAACTCATTATTTTATAGAAATAAATTTTGAGAGAGAGAAAGAGAGAAATTTGTAAATGATTGGTTGCAGAGCAATGGAAGCATCCCATCTTGACTTGTTCTCCAGAGGTCTACTGAGATTTGCAACATGCATTCATGGAATAAAGTTACTCTATTCAACAGAGAATCCTGGTTCTGAAAACAAGAAACAAAATAATCCCACTAAACTAGGAACTGGGATGCGAGAGGCAGATCATACATAGATTAGGAGTAGCAGATTGTAATTTGGAACTCCTAACAATGATTCCGGAAATGAAATTCCTAAGTTTAGCATAACGGTTCTTTTTCTAGTTTGATGTATGAATTCCAGACAAGTAAGAAATAAAAGAAATATCGGAAGATCAGTATATCATTGTTATTGAAGTAATAATGAGGACACGATAACATGTTACAAACCTGCACTCCGATTCTTTTTTCTGAATGTGCAGATTGTGAAAGCAATGAATCTGAAAATCTCTGATCTACAGCTGACAAGAACATATCTGTTGCAAATTGCTCAATGTTCTCAGAAATATAGCTAACTGCGTACAATTTGTTTGAAACCTGACAAGGCACAGAATCAATAACTTCAGTCCATAATTTCCTACTGACAGAAAATGGTTTCTTAGACGAGCTCCTCAATAATGCCAAAAGGAGAAAGATACGCAAGTTCTCACCAGGCGTATAGCCTTTGCTTGAACATCATCCTCCGGGAGAACAGTGCACTGCCATGTGGAATTAGAAAAGTAAGAGAAGAGATCAGTACGGTACAAATCTTTGCTGCCAAGGTATAATATTTTCCACGCCATACTAATTTTCACATAGCAGACAAATGGAGTTTTAGTCAAATTTTAGTCACTTATCATCTCATATGCCGCCCATGGTATGGCAGAACAATTACTGCCACACCAAAAGAGGCAATAAATAAAAATGAAAAAATCAAGAAACTGCAAAGCAGACAAGTGTTCGTACAAATAGATACTAAATCCATAACTGGGATGAAACAAATAGCTCTAGGATAGGTGTCCAACTGTTAATAAATAGTAGTAATTCAACTCTCATCAACCAAATCCAGCAAGCGCCTGCGTCAAAATCCTCGACCTTTGAAGAATATGAAGAAATCTAACCATCTCAGATTCCAATCCATCAAGAAACAGGACACTTGAAGAGAAGAGAAAGTTGAATTGAATATAACAGATGAAGTTGGATGATATCAATTCCAGCAGAAAATCAGCTAAAATAAAGGCCATACTTGCAAGTTCAAAGTTAAATAAGCAAACTACAAGAAAGGAAAACTGACATAAAATACCAAAAAGTCGAGTCTTATAGTAATTTACCTTCAAAGCTATAGCCAAACATGCTTGACGACTCTGTGGCCGGCCCAGGATCAAGCTCCACACGGCACCAAGGCCCTGAGTGACACGATCACCATCTGCCCCGGAGTGACTCTTGGTACATATGTCATCCAACATTGCCAATACAGAATCAGGTATACAAGGAACCTCCCCAAGAAGTCGACTGAAAGACTTGTTGGATGCTGGTAAATCAACTAGCAGAGACTTTGCCTGCAATTAAAGATGATACATTAATAATTTTATGGCAACAGTAATGGGGACTGGGGCCAGCTAAGAAATCTCCTACCACTCCCAGAAGGAATTTCTCATATACAGCAGCGGCAGATGACGCAGAATCTGAGATCACAAGACTATGCAGATGGTAGAGAATGTGCAATACGAGCTCGTGTCCCTGAAAATTACGACAAAAAGGCCAATTACGTAAGGCTTTAATCATTGACGAAGAAAACTAAAAAGACTGACACCATTTCTCCATTTCATAGAAGCCACAATGCTGTAAAGAGTGTAATGAATGATGGTTTAATTTTTCGTCGCAATGTGTAAAACAATAGGTGCATTGGCTGTGTGTAGAAGAAAGAGGGAGAGAGAGAAAGATACCTTTTTCTGTTCATAATCTGATACAATACGTTTCTGCACCATTTCAATCACATCATTGTCATCAATCTACAAAAGAACAGACAAGAATACAATTTAGTACCAGTAAGAGCAACCAATATGAGCACTAAGATGAGCAGATTTGTTTCAGAAACGAAAGAGGTTCTAGCATTGCTACAAAATAGGAGTTACCACTCCTTCGCATCTTTTAAGGGTTAATATCATAAGTTCACGAAGTAACTTGAAATAATTGGAGTTGACAAACAAATGGTCATTGACAAGATGCAAAACATAAATTCATAGCTCGTACTTATACTAGGTCTGCTATTTGCGGTCAGATAAGTTACCACATTCAATTGATACGCTATCCATAAAAGGGTTGAATCCCCTACTCCTATATTCTGCTGTTAAAAGAAATATAACTAGAATAGGGCAAATCAACAAAAGTAATTGCTGAGAATTCTTCGCGTTATTTTAGAACTCTACCAGAAAATAAAAAAAATAAAAAATAAAAAATAAAAAATAAAAAAATAACCTCAATCCTCAACCACCAAATATGTACATACATTGTAATCCACCAGATTTTCAAACGGAATTCACATGACAGAGACTACGATTGAATGTGAATATTAAGTTCAGAGTAAATCTTAATCTTTTAATAGAGAAAACGCCATTACTGAAGAAGTGTAGAAAATAAAGGAGCAACCTTACAGATTAATTATGAGAAGCAAAACAGACATATCTTTGTAGGTTGGGAAACAACAATTTATTGTTTTCTTCAGTAACATTCCAATGTATGTAGGTTTTAAATGTAAGAAATCCAAATTGATAAAACAAACCGAATTTTCCTTGAACTAAGAGCAGTCTAGCAACAACTAAAAGCCATCAATATCTGGTATATACGTATCAGAGAAGAAACTAAGATATAACGTCAAGATGCTACTCAAAAGGCATAACATTTACATTCCAAACTTTGTCATTACGCAAGTGTTAAGTTCATACAAGTTGTCAAATTCTTGTTTCAAATGTGAAACTAAAACAGTCAAGAAACAAAGGTCCCCACCAAGATTTTGGAAAACCATCACAACCTCGACACTGAAAACTTGACAACAAATTATCGATGGGGATGTTAGGCGCTACCTGTGCAAACAATCGAGCAACTAATGCAATCTGTGTTTGCTTAAGATCTGTTCTCTCTGAATTCTGGTACAAATTGATTAACCTTTCAAGTGCTAATCTCCTTGCATTTCTTTGATGGTCTTCAGCTAGATTAACGTAAACGGGAAGAACTGGCAACTCCGCCAATGAAATCTCAGCTGCTTCAGTATCTGGAGAAAATGGGTCTGTTTCTTGTGATGATGGGGAATAAGCTTCATCTAGCATGGCAACATCCATCGATTCATGGACAACAGGTTCCTCAGCTTTGTTAATAGGGGATGGTGAAAGAAGTAAAGCATTATTTGTCACCCTATCTGGAGAGAATGCATTTGCATTCACATCCTGGACTTCATCTTCTGGAATTGACAAGTCAACTTCCAATTCTGATAGATTTAAGTCAGTTTCATTTGTGGGCATGAGGAGTGGAGAGGTACTTTCAGGAATCGATGATGGAGGTAGCAATACGGGTGGAATGAAGGAACTAGAAGCATCGAAATCAGTTTGAACAGCCAATTGCACAGCATTTGCATTATCTTCGAAAACAGATGTTGGTGGCGCTTCAATAGGAATCACCATGCGCCTCGGATCAAGGCGACGAGGATCCTGGACCATTTATTAAAATTATTATAAAAAAAAAACAGCTGGAGTCAAACTCAATGTGATGACAACATAAAAATGAAATGTCTCAGATATGCCAATTGGCAAACATTACCCTTCTTGGATCACGTTTGGAGTCTGTAGAAAGATTCGAGGAAATCGACATATCAGAAAACGGTAAACTAGTCGTGTTGGATGAAGATGCATGTACTTTAGCTGAAAGGTCCGATGTCTGCATAGAGGTTGCAGAACCATTTGAGGAGACTACCTGGGCTGGGTCAGTAGAAGAATCACCGGGACGATTACTGTATTTTGCCACAGGAGGTGGATTCTCTGGTAAGTGCTTCATATTCGTTATGACAATATCGGCGAGCAAATCAGCATGTATGTTGGAAACAAGAATTTCAAGAGATTGAACTCCTCTTTCTCCTTCTGCAATTAAAGCACCAATCATAGCAATCATCTGTTCCACCGGGGTCAGATCCACATCCAGTACAGGGAGCTTAGGGAATATCCCATTGACATGATTCTGCCCAGCATCATTATTAATACTGGTGGTTGTATCGCTGTTAGGGCCATAACGGAGTCTCTTAGAGCTGGCATCAAAGCTATTATGCTGTTCGTCATTGTTAGATGGTGCTGACCTTTTCTTCGTCGCATCCCCTGAAATATGTAACTGAGTGGATAGATGATCATCCTGGAGAAGGAAGGCCAAAAACAGAACAGTTAATTTTATCTGGAATCAGCGATCCATAAGCACTAAAAAGGTTTTTCTTCTTACAAGAGATTACCTTAGCAAATTTCAGATCTTTTGAAGCACGCTCGTAGTTTTTCATGATTTTATCTACGTGTCGGACAACTTGATCGGCAGCATCTCCAGCATTCATTGATCGCAACTCTTTAAGCAATCTCTCTCTTGACTGAAGAGAAAAATGAAATAATTCCAAAGTAAGGATATGCCACAGCTACTAAAGATCTTAATTCTTTCTAATTTGCTGATGGGTGCGAGCAGGGGTATGACCTTCTGAAATAGGTATTTCTTGCAGAATGCTATCAGTGGGTCAAAAAAAGCACTTATGTTTGTTTGCCGCAATTTTGAAGTAGCTCTCAAGTTTAAACATGTATATGCCCGGATGCAGTCTAGTAAGATTAAAACTTCAATGTCCCAACATAATGAATTTCACTATTGATGCATATATTTTGACGTACAGAAAATGAGTTAATGACTTAAAAATGTAGAAGAGAAGTTCATAAAAAGCATGGAACATCAGACACAGCAATTGATCAAGTGTTAAAGATCTTGCTTAATTAAAAAAAAAAAAAAAACCCACCCGTAGAAGACCAAGTAAGGTGAAACCAAATTAGACCTGTAACCCCCGCCAAAATCCTCCATTCGCAATACAACAGCCTAAATTGATTTAAACTCAAAGCCCTACTAAATATAGCACATTAAACTCAAAGCCCTACTAAATATAGCACATTGGTGGTTCTATAACACCAATAACTGCAAGCTTCAGGGAGCGATAAGTCATTCATATTTTGAACAACCAAGCAGAAAGAAGCTATGATTTTGTAAGTTTATTGTGCTATGCATATAAGTATAGCATGACTAATATGATATTACAACCAAACAGAAAGAAGCCATGATCTTGTAAATAGACGTTGCTAATTTCCATACAATTATACCCTGAACGATCTGATATACTGAAAACATGATAGTTTGATGTAGCCATTGACTCGAATATATTATCAAGCAGTACTATTTTATAACTTTACCTCTGCAATGACAGGATGGGTACACCTTAAAAACCCTAAAAATGCAGTTCTCAAACAATACTGGATGCTGACAGTATGGGCACCCTTTGCTGGCTCAAGACTTGGATTAAAATCAAGCAGTGCAGTAACGACCGATTTATAGTAGACAGGCCTCTTCCGTGCAATAGCTGCAAGACTGCCAGGAAATGTGTCAGATTATGCTCATATTAGACAAAACATCTCTAATGCTAATGAGAAAAGAGTAAAATGCAGGAAATATATACATGAGATTAAAACAATAAACAAATCTAGAACAAAGAGATTTTAAACTTATCACACAATCTACATTAGCAAGCAGAAGACTCTCTGATGTAAAGATAACATATTCCGTCTACTCTTCCTTCATTTTAACCATACTCTATCTTCTAGTTTGACCCACCAACAACCATAGCATTATAGATCTCAACTTCGTAGCTTAAACATTATTTCATTACAAAGCCAAAAACAAAAGAATTAAATTGAGCTGCTGAACTTTAAAAAATAAACTTATTTAGAACAAACCAACAAACATTGAAAATTGCTGCCATCATTCCACATTCGAGCCCTTTAGCATTGGATTTTTGAGAAAATTTAACTAGAGGAGGCAATATATTCTCCTAAAACATTCCAACACTGCCTTGGACGGTCATAGTTAAGGACTGTAAACAGTAAACAGAGAGAATTATAACTTCAGATCTCACATTTCCTAATCTTTTTACTCCGTAAATGACACTGTCATTGATCCTAGATGGTTATAAAAATCGAACTGTAATCATAAATTATAAACAGGCAACTATTGTCCTTTTGCACACAATATCATGTTTATGAAAACAAATAAAGAAATGGATTGCCAAACATATCAAGAATTAAGAAAGAACAAACATATTGGAGAATATGTTAGTAAAACGTGTTTCTAATCTTTTTAAATTACAAAATGGCCAAAAATATTTCCGGTAGGTGTTCGCGAGTTTCGTATCCGAAAAGTTTACGAAACATGGAAACATTCAGAAGTTGAAGTCTCCGTGCAACATAGGTTGTTATTTTTTCCATTTGAGAAAGAAACAAGATGCCAAAGAAACAAAACATTGCAATTTCATACCACAAAACGATCATCACAAATATTATGACCCTGCCAACCTGAACGACAAAAGTATAAGACAATATGCAGCAACACATCAACTCAATCATCTAGGAAATCTTAATGAGAAACTAGACAGCCACTAAGAACAAGGTCATATATTCAAAGAGAGGTTAAGGGAAAAATTAGAAATGGCATGTGAACATGAATCATAAAGCTTGTCCTCCTATGCCAAACATAAACCAGAGTTCAAAATGGACCAAAATGCACGGAAAATTTTGACAGGAATTTTAAGAATTTCCTTCAACCTTATAAAGAGGGGATATCGCCTCCAAATCCCTAATGCTCCATCCAAGTAATACCACAAGAATTCCCACATGACAGTTGGATGACAGGTTGCAACTGATCAACAGCACAGGTTTTCAATTGTACTAGACTAAAATAGAAACCAGAAAATGCTACAGATGCAATGTTCGGCCATCGGTCAACAATCAACATCCTTTAGGATGAGAATAATCACTTCTATGCCTTCCCACTTTCCCAATTCAAATCTTCAAACTACTCTCTAGGCCAGCCGAAAACTAAAATCACAATCTATGACTTAAGACTGACTTGGCAAATGCTAGTAATTGCCCGACATTGGAGAAGACATAGGTAGAAGTTGTGTTTCTCCACAAAAACACAGTCCCATGGAACCATCTTATAAAAACAGTTAGTAATTATCCAGCTATATATGCATATCAATATAATTTCCATAGGACATAAACAGCTGATTCCATATGGGGATTGAGCAGCTGGTAGAAACCTTGTTGCAGTAGCAAAACTATTATTATTAATAAAATTAATGTGGATATAGAAAAAATTAAGCACAAACATATACATTAACAAACATTATTTACAGGCTGCACATGCTGCAACTGTGTATTCATACAAAAGATGTGCTAAAATGACGAGGCATTTTGGTCTCACTAAAAAATATACAAGCAATAAGTTGCTAGTTCAAATCAGTTCAAATCAATCAGATGAAATTTATCCATCGCTTATTCAGTCCTATCAACCGCCAATGTTGTTGATATCAGCTAACTCCTACTTCTCTTATCTGAACCATGAATTCAGCAGTCCCAGGCAAACTGCCATTTAACTCCATGTTAAAAAGCTTGACAGCATGCTGCAATAATAGCACAAAAAGGCAGTTGAACTTACACTAAAACCAATTGCCAGGCTTCATTGATCCCTCCAAAGAAAATAACATGTGCAATGTACTGCGATGCAATTACCTCATAGGTACAATTTGCTCGAAAACATTACATGCACAAACAGCAAATAGCTTACACATTAGAACTACGACTGCGAGGTGGAGGGAATCATCATTTCAAACAAATGAGTAAGAAAATGGTTGCAATACTGTACTATTTTGGCTGAACACTCCAGATATAACTACGACGAAAGATTTTTCGACTTCCATAGATACTAACAACTTAATATCTAGAGGCTTTACTTGGCTGCTGGAAAATTTTGCATAAATCACAAAAGCTCAAATAGGGAAGTGCAGATTTTAAAGTCAATGTCATACAATACACATAAAATCACATCGTAAACACGAAACATTATCAGAAATAGCACTTTGATAGAATAAATAAATACAATGGTAACACATGCAAGCAGAGGAACACAGAGGAGAAAATAATGAGTACACAAAGGCAAAGGTTGATGCAATTACCAGAAAACTTGAAAAGGGACAGACCACACATTAGCACAAAATACATAATAGTAGATAAAATTTATGTGTGTGTGTGTGTGTGTATATAATATAATTTGCAGACACCATAGGTTAGAGTTTGTATTTGGTGGTAAAGGACAGTAAAGTGAATTAAAATTTAATTAAATAAAAACAATAAATGTAGAAGTTTACACTTGTCAAACAAGAGAACAATGGAGCGATAGGTGCCTATAGTTTGAAACATGTAACGAGTTTCTAATGTACTCTCTTAAAGTCATGTACGAACTTCTTTCTTGCTTCTTTCTCTTCAGCATTTTAAATCCAAAAACACTAACATTAAAAATCTAACATCCCAACTGCCATCATACTTCAAAAACGATAGAAAGAAGCGTATTATTCTCCATCCCAGTCCCTAATAGCACACTATAGCACCTACCATCAACCTGTATTGACTATTTATGCTACCTAAACCAGGCACACAAACTTTTATAGCAGCAATCACGGTGATATTATCCATTTCAGAGAAACAAGTTTATCAACTTCTGGAAGAAAATTAATATGCAAATTTTTATCTTCCCTCTATGGCTAAATTATAATTTATATGACTAAAGTTAAGTTTTTCCATCAGGTTTACTTCAGAAATAACATAATTGAGAAAGAAAACAATCACACGTGGGAAATTCTCACCTATTGATAGCAGCAATCGTCAAGGAACCAGGAAAACTACTAGCTGACTGCAAGATATCCAACAAAATGCACATATATCTATTTGCATCTGATATGAGAGCAGATGCATCCAGAACAGGATGACCGTCCGTTATCCAGGAGACATTAAACGCCTTCCCTTGCCTTATCGTCACTACAGGAAAAGCAGAGTCAAAAGTACAATAGTTGGCAATCAAATCTCACGTCTATATAAATAACAGAGCTTAAGAAAACACTAATAAAAGGCGAAACACTCATATTTCTATTAAGTTACCTTCTGGGTTCTGCGTTCCAGAACCATTGGAGTCCAACGTGAAGTGTAAAACATATATTTCTAGAAACTTTATTGCTAACAACTTTGGACCAACAGGACGCACCTGCAACACAATCCACGGAATCAGCCACAATTACCAGAATGATTTCACTTCAAAAACAGGAAACAGGCATATCTTATCATCTTCACAAGAAGGACGTGTTTTATAAGGATTTTCTCTAAGGGGCCAAAACTAGCTGAATAGAGGATTTGAAGCCCATTAACTGTTAAACTGGACATGTAGATAGAACATTCATTAAAGCAGGCATGTATGTGGCACATTCATTAAACCATGTTTATAAAGCATTCATATGTGGAATGAACTTTCAGAATTCAAACTGCCAAAGTAACCTCATTGACCCTGTTGCATGCGAGTATACTCTACGTTTAAGACCACCACTCAGTAATGCTCGATACATAATTAGTAGTATGTTACTTGACCAGGCAATTTCACTGATAAGTAATTCCAACAATTCTTTTAACCCAAATCATCTACTAGGCCATCATAGTGAAGATCCATGAGGAAATAAACATATAGCAACTACGTCTCCATGTTAACTTTAAGAAAATGTGCCAAGTCATCTAACAATCGTAGGCTGTCATGAATCAACAAAAGAATTATTCCATTTAAACAATGTTCTAGTGAGTATAATGTGAAAGGCACAAGTAAGCTGAATAAATGAGAATTTACTTGATGAGATTTGTAGTAACTACAGCAACTTCATACATACCTCGAACAGAAAGCACAATACAGCATCTCTAAATTTGAGTATCCACGTCCACAGCTCTTCAAGCCATCTCTCAACTATACCACGCCGTTGAAACTATAATTTTTTTTAAGTACAGATTCAAAGTTTCATATATACTGATTCAACAACTTAACGGATATGAGGCAACCAAAGCAAATAAAAACATATGTATTTTAAGGATGAGCTGTACAACTTTCACAAAATAGGTCTATACTGCACAATATAAAACAGTGAATTCAAGAAGCATCTAAATATCTGTTTATACTCAAATTCACGAAATCTTAAAAAAGAAAATGATAAACTACAAGAAGCCATGGAAGAATGTTGTAAGAAGTTTTTCCTATATAAAATGTTTGAAGTGTTGATATTATGACATATGAAACATAATACCACAAGTACAGCAACTAGAAAGCGACTGACGCAGAAGTAGATAAATCACAAAGTAGAACATAATGAAAATGTCAGTACAAATTTCACAGGAAGATGGAGAAAGATATGCACAGTCACAACTAACACATATGCAGGCGCACACAGACACAAATCACCTCACCACACACACACACACACACACACACACACACACACACACACACACACACACACACACACACACACACACACACACACAGAGAGAGAGAGAGACCTGAAAAGCTAACTCTTCCAAGACAACACAAAAAAAATTTGTCCCAGTCACTATAGATTGCTTTGCAACAGTGGGATTATTATCTTTCAAAAATGTCAATAAGGCAGGCAACAATATGGATAGATGTTCCGTTGTTTTGGCTCCAATCTCGTCGATTATCCTATCAACCAAATCAATAAAGTTTATTGGTGAAACAAGAGGTGACAATAATCCAACAACGTAGAAATACCATCATATGTAAATAAAGCACGGACAACATCTTTAATATATGTTGAACAGTTGCTTAGATTCATACATCAAAATAGGCCCTCAGTATACGGGAGATGACACTACTGTTTCAACAGCAAAATAAAGCTCGAAAAAAGCCTTGTCCAGTTATCCGTGTAAGTTACCTTCAGCGACTATAATCAGAAACTATAACATTTAAAGTTATTTATGAGCAGCTTTTCAGTGTTTGAATTAGAACTACAATCTGAAAAATATTGCAAAGTGTGTAAAATTGTAGCAACAATTATAGCTTTCCATGGTGAAAACAGTGTTTGAATTTTTATCTAACTGACATCACAAAATTGTATAATTGTGTTTGAATTTATATTCACCATGGAAAGCTATAATTGTTGCTACAATTTTACATCAGAAAGCCAAGGTTCCTAATTACTCAAAAAAAATTGCACCGGATCCTTGGACAAGAAAAAAAATAACCATGACGCGCTAATAACTCTACTCTGGAACATCAAACGATGCGAAGAAGAAAAAAAAAACCAACATAAATTCAAAAATTGGAGGGGATAAAAAGCTTTTCAATAAGAAATAAGAATTACTCACTCGAGGAGATACTTTCTAACGAGGGTTTCGGGGGAATACTGGAGCTCAACCAAATAAGGGAAAATCTCCGCCGCTTGAGACGGTTCAACGGACAACAATATATCTTTGGCCTGCTTCAACGACGATAACTTCACGGCCAAATCTCCATGGTTATTCGCCGCTGCTAGGAGTGAGAGCGCCTGCTCCCTCGCCGGGGGCCCAGCCATGTAAGAATTGTTGGAACAAGGAATTCGAATCCTCAAGTACGTAATTTGGGGTTATGTCTGAAAGGGTTCTAGGGTTTTGAATTTGGGAGTGCGTGGGAATTACAACGCGTGAGGGAGGTGTGTAATTCCGGAGCCTTTCTGATTGCTGAGGGTGTGATTGGGAATATATAATTAAATGAGTAAACTGCAAAAAGTACCCCTGTGTTATCTTGAAATGGTAAAAAAACCCCTGTGTTAATTAAACTAGCAAAAACCCCCCTGTGAAATTTAGTCAATGGCATAAACCCCCCTAGTGCACTTCCGTGTGACACACGCGCCCAACTCGCAGGTGGTAATGAATTTTTCAACCTGAAATGACAAAATTGCCCCAAAAAATGTATGAGTATGTATTTTAATGAATTTCTCAAAAATTCTACACAAGCCCTAATTCCATCTTCCTAACACCTCGTCCAGCCGCCTCCCACCACCGCAACACATCCTCCACCATGGGCTGCTTCGCCTTGTTGCTCTCCGAGCACCGCCGTGACCGCCGCCGCATGAAGTACACACTCGAGCACAAGTGGCCAGACAACCGGAGGAGCTTCTGGAGATTGGGGGATCAAAATCAGTAAGGACTTCGGAGCAACTAATCTTCTTCTTCACGATGATTTGGAAGCTCCTCTACGGCGGCGGCGGCGGCGGCGCGAATTCGAGCCGAGTCTACAACCCCGATTACAAGCTGACATTCGAGCCTTTAATTATCCGCCCCATGTCAAATCTCTTTGCATACATAACTTTAGGAGGAATCTGCGTTGATATTCGACGGATTTTTGTGGAATTTTTTTTGGGTTGTTGCTGAGTTTTGCAGAAGCTCAAATCTTTCCCTTTTTTCTTTTTTCTTTTTCTGGATCTGGTTAAAGAAGGAGATTAAAATTTTTGGTTTATTGTATTTTGGGATTCAATTTCCAAGTGGGAAGACGGTGGTGGTGTTGTCGGAGATGGAGCGGCCAAGTTATTCCAGCATTCTCATTTTTTGTTTCTTTTTCTGATTTTTTCTTATTTTTAATTTTTTTTTTTATTTTGATTGTTTAGAAATTGAAATACTAATAAAATCTGGTAAACATTTTAAACTGACATGTTATTAAAAAATTTAGAAATCAAATTAAGTATGGATATTTAAAAATAATTACAAGATAAAGAAATGTATAATTAATTTTTTTTTTTACATAATTTAGTTGTCTTTTTTAATAAGAATAATAATTTAATTGTCTTTTCAGCCAATTCAAAAAGCAAATTTAAAATAATTTGAAATATGCAGAAATTATATCATAGTAAAAAACAAAATTAAAAAAAAACTAAGAAATTAATTAGAAACTATTAATCTCATTTCTATTTTTTAATAGCTAAAAAATAATATAATTTAATAACTGAAAAAATCCCAAAGGGTATTACTGTATTTACACAGCAGGTCAACACTCAAATGGGTTATGGGTTGAGTGTGCTCCTTAAAAAATTTCATAGGGGGGTTTTTGCTAGTTTAATTAACACAGGGGGTTTTTTGCTAGTTTAAGATAACACAGGGATAGTTTTTGCAGTTTACTCATAATTAAATATATAACTGAATAATAAATAATTAAATAGCAGGGGCGAAACCGAATTTTGACAATGTTTCTTAATTTTAAAATTGGATTGGGCATCGAAATTGATATTGGGTCACAATTTGAATCAGCCCAATCCAATGCAACCGGATTTTTAATTTTTTTCATAATTAAAATAAATATTTTAAGGTGATTATTTTGTGAAAATATGTGTATTTTTATTTCAAAAATACAAATACATATTTTTGTGAAAATACATATTCTTTCTAACTAAATCATTTTTTTAAGAGCAAGAGCAGGAACCTAAATATCCAATTTTTTTTAAAGTACATATATCATGTGCCTATTCGACGTTACTCTTTAAAAGAATTGAGAAATCATACGATGAGAAAAAAAAAACTGATAAAATTTGGATAAAATTATGATAATACTAAAGTTAGACCACCTAGAGTATTTGAGGTAAGATGAGTTAGAAGAGTAAGATAAATTACTGACTCACATGCTTGATGGTCGCAAGATACTTGTTGACCAAAGAGCATGTACACTATATATTGGGGTTAATCCGGTGGAAACCCCTTAAACGCTCAAACCAGGCATGTGAATCAAAAGTCGTAAAGAGAATGTTAGAAATCGTATTAATTGGATATTAGAATATACCTTAATAAATGAATTAAAATCTTTAGTTATACTTCGTTCATTGGACTGAAGTTGATTAGTGGAGATTGCCGGGCCCAAACTTCATTTATTATGTAAAGAAATTGGACTCATGAACCAATAAATAAAAAAAATGTAAGCCCATTAAATTGTCGGGCTACAAATAAGGTTTGAAGGTCATTGGGCCTACATATTAATTGAGATTGAACTATTTCGTTGTAGTTGTTTTCGAAATTGGACTCGTGATCCAATATAAAAGAAATTGTATATTGGGCCAATTAAAAATATCTAATTAGTTCATTTTATAAGAAAAATATATATTACCCTGAAGGGCAAAAGTGTAAAAAACTTGAAATCTGAGGTAATTAATCAAATTGATTAACACGATTACAGAATATTTGCTACGTATATATATAGATATATATAGAAACAAACAAAAATCGTAAAAATAACGCAACTTCACCACCACCACCACCACCACCACTACCAGCGGCGCACCTCACTCTCCCGCGCGCACGAAAACCTCAGACCCGTAAACCCTATCGGAGGAGTGGAATTTCCTGGTCTGGTCATGGATACTTGGGATCCGACGACAAAGTCAACCTTGACTCAAATCCCTTTGCTGTCGGTGAAAGCCGGGCCACGCGATGGCGGCGCGTGGACGCAACGCCTGAAGGAAGAATACAAGGCGCTGATCACCTACACCTCCATGAACAAGTCGAAGGACAACGACTGGTTCCGGATCTCCGCCGCCAACCCCGAGGGGACGCGATGGACCGGTAAATGCTGGTATGTACACAATTTGCTCAAGTACGAATTCGATTTGCAGTTCGATATACCGGTGACTTATCCTGCAACTGCACCCGAAATTGAGCTGCCTCAGCTCGACGGAAAGACCCAAAAGGTTTTATTTTTTATTTTTTAATCAGTTGAATTTTATTTTATTTTCCCCAAATGTGGAGGTTGATTATTTTAATTTATTTTTAATTTTGTTGAATTAATTTGTTCAGATGTATAGAGGAGGGAAGATATGTTTGACGGTGCATTTCAAGCCGCTGTGGGCGAAAAACTGGTGATCTCCTCATTCCTTTCTTCTTTTCGATCATGTTGTTCATGAATATTAATTCACATGATCTGCAAATGGTTTTTGATTAACAATTTGAATTTGACTCAGTAGAAGAATTTAGTGTGCTCTCTTTCTACAGTTTATTCGATTCTCTACTGCCACCATACGGTAATTGTTAAAAGATTCTCACTCGGAGAAATAATCGTAACCACATACTTTCTCCCTATTACTCTGTTACTGATAATGTTTCTAATTGATATTTGCATAGATGAAGGCCTCGGTTGGTTGGGGAGATTAGTCATGATTAATTAAATAATTGGACATTGTACGATGTTTGGTAAACCCAATAACTTCTCCGGTCAACCCGGAAGTATTATGTTTTCATGTCTTATCTTGCCTTTTAGGGAGTTTTTTTTTTTTTTATGTCGCGGATCCGATAAAATAATTGGGTTTTCGTTAGATTGTTTAATCTTATCTTGGATCTTGGCTAATTCTATCTTAGCAATCAAACGAGGCTGAAGGTGATTATTGGTTTTAACATTTATACATCTCAGTTTGTTTTTCTCTACGTATGGGAGGATCTGGTTTTGTATTCAACTTTTCGACTGTTGAATAATTGCTGCAGTTTTTAGATATGATCATTGTGCTATTGGTGCTGAAGTTCTCAACACTTGAAAATGGCAGTTAGCTATAATGCATGCAACTCTTTTCTTCTTCCTAAACAATCGATCGTCCTTGCATCTTATTACATTTTAAATTCGAAACTAAAATTTGGATGAAGAAATACACCAACTAAATACTTCCTTCAATATAGTTAATAGTGACATGGTGGCTAAACGAATGGAAGTTTGTTAGTTCCTTTTATGCAGTCATGCTCCTATGAAAGAAATAACAATGTTAAAGTAATCAGTGGAAAATGATTTCATATCTCACTTGTCAATACTGGAACCGGCAAATTTGGTTTTTATATTGACTTGCGCATTGTTTTTCGTATGGCAGCCCTAGATTTGGAATAGCGCATGCTCTTTGTTTGGGGCTAGCACCGTGGCTTGCAGCAGAAATTCCGATTCTTGTTGATTCTGGCATGGTTAAGCACAAAGATGATGCTGCATCTTCGGCTGAATCTTCGTGAGTAACCAACCCACCCCTCTTGTAGAGACTAAAATAATTATGCTTGAAACTTTGAGAGTTCTTGATTAAACTTATCTGTTAAGCTTGGTGTAGAACTTTATACTTTTTGGCGAATAAATATCGAAAAATTGTGATGTTAGGTTTCTTATACCATCAATTTGGTACTTGTTTTTTTTTCTTTCTCCGTTTTTCTTCCTTGTTTTGGTGCATATTTTAAACTTCCATAGTTTGCTTAAGCTGATATGCTTGATATTGAAATCTTCGCCTAGTTATGGCAAGATAAAAGCAACAATTAAATGTCCATATAGTTTTAACTTTCATACGAGTATTCGTTCCCAGATTCTGAGAAGGGAAATTGTCTGCAAGTTACCGAACCATTAAATAAAATTATGACAGCCATGAAAACGAGAAGTTTAGCAAAGGAACAAATATATTCATCGTAAAATGGTATCCGTATTCAGTTACATTTAGGATACCAAACTGAACAAAATAAGAGAGATGATACAAGAAAACAACACTTTGATACCTTGTTCGTGGCGATGTATTATAAATTTAATACATATATATAAATTATATAAAAAAATAAAAAATAAAAAAAATCCAACTGCACACTGACATGCTTAAAATACTCTCTCATGTATGTATATATATGTATATTGTATATATAGTTTCCATGAAAAGTTAGAAATTTGGTCCAGCAGCTAAGATCTCCTCAGTGAGCTTGTTGTCTGCTCCAATCTTGTAGTTCAAAAACCCTTCAAAATTCTTCTTGAAAAGACCTCCCAACTTCACAAGAGTTTCCTTGTGTGCCTCCTTCTCAGACCACTAACAGAACATCACATATTATTATTACACAATTTAAATTTAAAAAAAAAAAAAAAAAAGGAATAAGTGCTGCTTTGAATTTGAATCAAAACTTACTGTATTAGCAGGATCCAAAATTTCCGAAGGCACCCCCTCAATTTCAGTCGGAATCTCAAGCCCGAATACTTCCGTCTTCGTGTAGTTCGCTTTCACCAGTTCCCCTGAGTGTATTGCATCTATTATTTTCCTAGTGTAAGCTAACTTGATTCTACTTCCTGATCCATAGCTGCCACATAAAAAAATTAAAAAAAAAATAATCAGCCTTCCGAAAAATGCTTTAAAAATAAATTAAAAAAACGGCTTAAGATAATATACCTCCCACCAGACCAGCCAGTGTTTACGAGCCAACCAGTGGCTCCGTGTTTTTGCATTTTATCTGCCAGCATGGCGGCATACTTGGTCGGATGAAGCATTATAAACGCTGCACCGAAGCAAGCAGAAAATGTTGCTGTTGGCTCCTTTATACCGTCCTCTGTTCCAGCTACCTATATATTCCACAAAACACATTTTTTTTTAAATATTACAAATAGGAGCCAAATTCGGCAGCATTTTCGAAAAAAAAAAAAAAGACTTTGGCCGGTATTTTAGTATAGGGATTTACGTCTAAATTACCAGAGCAGTGTAGCCGCTTATAAAGTGATACATGGTTTGAGGCAAGCTGAGTTTGCTGACAGGGGGGAGCACACCAAATGCATCACATGCCAATAGAATTACGTTTTTCGGATGAGGGCCCACACACGGTATCTTTGCGTTCGGAATAAACTCTATCGGATACGCAGCCCTAGTGTTCTCTGACATTTCGATATTTTTTTTGTTTTAATAAAAAAAATTAAGGGAGTTAGTTATTTTATCACGCATTTTAGAAGTTTTTTTTTACCTGTCACAGATTTATCAGAGTAATCCACATCTCGCGTGTGTTCATCGAACACCACATTTTCGACAACTGTCGCAACAAAAAAATGTCAGAAATCTAGTCGATTTTTACCAAATATAATTTTTTATTTATTCTTTAAATATATATACCAGCGCCGAATTTTATAGCATTCCAAATATCAGGCTCCTTCTCCCTAGACAAGTCAATGCACTTTGCATAACAACCACCTTCGATATTCGACACACCGTTCTCACTCCAGCAATGCTCATCGTCTCCTATCAAATACCTATTATTATCCGTCGACAAAGTCGTTTTACCAGTACCTTCATAATAAAAATAATAAAAAATTCCTAATTAATTCTTCGAAAATTATAAAACCTTAATTATAAGAGAAAAAAAAAACGATATAGTATCTATAATGAATTACCCGATAAACCGAAGAAGAGGGCTACATCACCATCTTTACCCATATTCGAACCGGAGTGCAACGAGAGTATTTGTCTCTTAGGCATGAGATAATGCATTACACTGAAAAGACCCTTCTTCATTTCTCCCGCATATTGGGTGCCGAGAATCACCATTTCTCGTCTCGCGAGATTTAGGTCTATGCTAGTCGATGATGTCATGTAGTGCGTGTAACGGTTGCATGGAAATTGTCCCGCGTTGTATATCGTGAAATCCGGTTCACCGAAGTTCTCCAGCTCTTCTGGACTCGGTCGAATACACCTGTCAGCGGACCCCGCATTTATATTTTTACGTTTAATGTGATTAATTTAATTTAATTTAATTTAATTTGTTAGTAATAATTTTACTCACATGTTGTGCATAAACAGAGAGTGATAGGCTCTGGCGGAGACGATACGAACTTTGATGCGATTCTCCGGGTCCCAGTTAAGGAACTGATCGTTTACGAAAACCTGAATTTTATTATATAACGATCTAATTAATTCACAATTCAAATTATATGAATTAATATTGATATATAGTAACAAATTTATTTTAAAAAAATTACCTTTTCCAACGAGCATAAGTAATCGACGGCTCGTTCTCTGTTGACCATGAAAGTGTGCTCGTCCATTTCGATGTTCGGTGAACCTCTATATATCATCATATCACATAATCATTATCAATTTCATTTAAAAAAAAATTAAATTGATTATGTAATAAGAAAGATATATAAGAGAAACATACTTTCCCCACCAAAGATCATCGGCGGTGGTTTCGTCTTTGACAACACGCTTATCTCTCGGCGAGCGGCCGGTTTTGGCCCCCGACAGGGTGGCTAATGCACCGCTGGCTGTGATGAAAGACCCCTTCTCGTACTTTATTGCTTGCTCGTACAGCTCTGTATATAATATATATATATATATATATATATATATATATATATATATATATATATATATATATATATATATATATATATATATATATATATATACATTAAGGTTACATTATATGCATGTATTTGTATTAATGATATTTTTGAAAATATGAGTGTGGAAAAATTAAATTAGGGTTTGAAAGGAAGAAATTGTGTGGAAGTGTGTTAATTACCAGCGGGGGAGAGATTGTAGAGGATGTGAGTAAACTTGAGGGCGCTGTCACTCATGTTCAGATTGGGCGCCGCAAAGTGGTGGCTCGCCGCCGACAGACGCGGCGTCTCCGCCGTAGTCATCGCCGGATCCCCTTTCACCACATTCGGCCCGGTCTCCCGCGTCAGCGACGCCAAAGATGCACTGCAATTAATTTTAATTAATTATTTAATTGTTTAATTAAGTCAGAACAGCTCAAATATAAATAAATACCTGATGGACTGGAGCTGCTGTTTGTGGCGGTCGTCCTCGGCGTGCGCCGCCTTGATGGGGGTGGAGGGGGCGGATTTCTTCTTCTGTAGGGAGTGCAGCTCGTCTAGCGTCTGAGCCTTGACCGGCAGGGAGCTGTCGTCGTGGCATATTTCCTCAGCCTTCTTCTTCTCCGTGTTAATCATCGGTAACCCGTTCCTGCCTTTGGCGGCGCCGCCGCTAGCGAAGCTGAATCCTCCATTTTCCGCCGCCATTATTCTCGTGAAAGCGTGAAATTCTTGTGTGTGAATTATCAAATGGAAAGTTGGTGGAAATGAACAAATTCAAGTTTCAACCATGCAAATGTACGGAAAGCTTACAGTGAGTAAGTAGATATATATATATTCAATTTCTGGAGAGGCCTCTGAAATTTATACTTGACGGAATTGGATAATTTAAACCCTGGTTGAGTTAATTAACCTAACCATGTTTTTTCGTGGAGTCATTAGATAATTAGATTTGATTAATTGCTCTTAATAAAGTCAATATCGATACATATATCGGACTACAACTGGAATTAAAATTGGATATTGTTTTATTTTATTATCAAATTTTAAATTCCAATTTCCAGTGCAGAGTTGTATTATTATACTAGCAGTCCAGCACGTATAATAGGAAAACGGTGACCTGATTTCGCCGTGAATGTATTACACGTCATGATCTAATCAATAACCTCAAATCATTTGACTTTCTTCTTTAATTAATTGGAGTACTTAACTACTTATTCATAAAACTAGTAATAAAGAATGAATATTGTTTGGTTTGTTAATTCAGGGAAAATGTTATCCACAACGTGACCTTAATCAATATTTAAGGGGCAAGCAAAACATCCAAGGGCAGATAACGTAATTTTGATAAGTCAAACCTAAATTTCGCAACAAAATATGATTATGGGCCATGTGAATTCACTGACTCGACATGATATATTTTTTTGTGGGCACGTTTTTTTTAATATTTTATTTACGATCGTTTAAATTAATTGGGAGTTATTCAATTTTTTTACTGTAAACACATGTCACAAAGAAGCCTTACACGAATACTGCTTAACAACCACCACGACGGCGTCAAAGAAAACGACAGCGTATTGAGCAAAAGGATGAGGAGGAGCCGCTCGTGACGACGGTGGTGGTGGATATGGGTTGGCATCAAACAGGAGACACGTGCTTCTTTATCGCCAAATTCATCTTTTCCCTCCCCTTCTCTATTTTATTCTATTTTATTATTCACTTTTTTATTTATATGTTTCTCCTAATTTTCTCTTCTAATTTTTCAATGAGATTTGAATTAATTTTTTATTACTCGAAATGATCAATTTTCACTCCCTAATTGCTAGTAACAACATTTTTTTGGTCAAAATAAATAGATAAAATTAAATAAAATACGACCGTTTAGTCAGTTATTATTGCTGCCACTCTTATTTATTGATGTTTGGTTCTTCGATTTTATAATTTATCAAAATTTGACATCATCCATTTATCAACACTCTCAAATGTGTGATAAATTTGTTTTGGGCCTATGAGACAAACACGTGTAACCCCAATTTATATACCCAAAGGTGAAAGCACGAGATAAATAGAACGGCCCAAACAATATAACTGAAAGCCCGTCCAGATAAATAAAAGATCCTTTTATTTATTTATTGTATTACGATAAAAAATAATTAAACTGAATCATAAAAAAAAAATTGATGGTTTTTGGCTTTACTAGTACAGTAGTACTATCTTTGTAAACATCCACATCTGAAAGTGTGAGAACAAATAATTTCCACGAGGTGTAATGAAAAAGTAGTGGCAGAAAAAGACTTGAAAATCCTATGAATCAATCTCAATCACTGATTCTCTATTACATTTTCCCCTCTCCTCATCTTATCTTTTTTCTCTGAATAATACATTCTTTATTTCTTACAATATAAAACAAATGGTGCATAATCATTAAAAAACGACATCGTTTTCCGATCTTTGATTTTCATGCAAAACCATGTAAATACATTTAAATCGAGGCATCCCAACTCGTATATTCCAAATTGATTTCCCATATCAAAATATGTTATGATGCATCGATCGACTTTAGTTTAGTGGATTTGTTTCGTTAACTAGTTCAGTTTCGCTAAGATTTTGATCATGAACGAACGTTCTCTTTGTTATTTCAAACACATTAATTGTGATTTTTTTTTGTCAATTATAATTTATACACTTCAAAATATGTAATAGCATCAAATCGCACCCTAAAATAAATCACTGTAGCTTTCTAATTTGCAATTTTTGTGACGAATGTTGCAATTTTAACTTTGAATATTTTGGAAAAAAAAACTTTTTTTTAAGCATCATTTTTTAATAAAAAAAAAAAATTATGATGGTAAATACTAAATAGTGTGATGGCGTTGTGTTGTACACAAGTTTGGTTTGGTGGTGGATGGGGTGAGTGAGTGTGGATAGAACGCGCCCTCAATTGGCCAATCACAATTCAGAGAAATCCAACCAATACTTTTTCTCCACCCAAAACAAATAAAATAATAATTGGAATAAAACTACCAAACAAATAGATCAATTAACTCCCTCTGCTCTTCCCCAAAGATCAAAGCTCACAAAATCACAGAGACACCCAACATAAAACCCTGAATTCTTACTCTTTGAATTTAGGGTTTTTGATTGGATTCGTCTGAACTTGTTTGCTGTTGTGAAATCCGAGAATTCGCAGGGTGGAAAATGGCGGTTTCGAGTGCGTTCGTGGGTGCAAAGCTCGAGGCCTTGATGGTCAGCAATACGGCGTCGTCCTCCGCCGTTTCTGCCTCCGCCTCCGCCTCACCGGCTCAGGTCGGCTTGTTCTGCAAGCCGGTGGCCACTCGTGCCAAACGAGTGGCTCTGATGAGGAGGAATTCGGGAATCATCAGGGCTGAGGTTCAGACGGAAATCGTTGACCACGCCAATGCGGCTTCTTCCTCGGCTTCGAGCCTCTCAGCTCTTGAACAGCTCAAGGCCTCAGGCGCTGACAGTATGCTCCCCTCTCATTGTTGCTTTATCTATCGTTTCCCCCATCAATCTCGTATTTGCTTGTGATGATTAAAATTGATTTCAGTATTCGTGAATTCTGTATGCATTTCAGTATAAATTACCAGAGGATGATAGTCAAAGTGATAAGGATGCTGCATTTCAGTATAATATCAGAAATTACATCTACTCAGTGGTCATAATTTCTTATAGACTTGGCGTAGTTCGTATTCTTCGAACAACCATGGCAGTAAACTTGCGGATTGATTCTTAAAAAATTGCAATGCTAAATTTTTATCTTCAATAAACTTGCGATTTTATCTTCATAATATGTTCAGATAAGCAAATAGCTAAGCCAAGAGTATTTATGTGGATCAAAACTAATTTCCTATTCACAGTATTTCTACATGTGTGTGTGTGTGTGTGTTTATACCAGTTCTCATAGGAGTGAGGGGCTTATATTATTGAAAATATAAGCCATGATAATTGTTAGCTTAGTTCTTTTCGGTTTTGTTTCTGATCGGATAATTCTTCGTGTCCGTGTCTCCATTAGTAGATGAGGAACATTTCTGAAATTATGTTGTTTATTTTTTACCAGGATATACGAAAGAAAAGAGCAGTATTGTTGTAATTGGTCTTAGCATCCACAGCGCACCTGTTGAAATGCGAGAAAAGCTTGCTATTCCTGAAGCAGAGTGGCCTAGAGCTATTGGCGAACTATGTGGTTTGAATCATATCGAAGAAGCCGCTGTTCTTAGTACATGCAACAGAATGGAAATCTACGTAGTAGCACTTTCAAGGCACCGGGGAGTTAAAGAAGTGACCGAATGGATGTCCAAGGTATAAATCTTTCAGAATCTTGAAATTTTCTTATCACACCGTGAATTAATTCAACTCTGTTGATTGATTCCACCAAATTAATTCATTGTATGTTCGTTTGTTTCAGACTAGTGGAATTCCAGTGTCGGAAATATGTGAGCACCGGTTTCTGCTATACGACAAAGACGCAACTCAACACATCTTCGAAGTCTCAGCTGGGCTCGATTCCTTGGTGTTGGGCGAAGGCCAAATCCTTGCTCAAGTCAAACAAGTGGTCAAAGTCGGTCAAGGCGTTTTGGGATTCGGGAGGAACATAAGCGGTCTCTTCAAACACGCAATCACAGTCGGAAAAAGGGTCCGAACAGAAACAAACATAGCATCAGGGGCAGTTTCCGTGAGCTCCGCCGCGGTAGAATTAGCCCTAATGAAGCTTCCGGAAAGTTCCCACTCCACCGCCAGAATGCTAGTCATCGGAGCTGGCAAAATGGGGAAGCTGGTGATCAAGCACTTGGCGGCAAAAGGCTGCACAAAGATGGTGGTGGTGAACCGAACTGAAGAAAGAGTTTCCGCTATACGTGAGGATATAAAAGACGTTGAGATAATCTACAAGCCCCTAACCGAAATGGAAAACTGCTCGGCCGAAGCTGATGTCATCTTCACAAGCACTGCATCGGAAATCCCTCTCTTTCTAAAAGAGCACGTTGTAGACCTACCGCCCGTAGGCCCCACTGTGGGTGGTGTGAGACTTTTTGTGGATATATCTGTTCCAAGAAATGTAGGTTCCTGTGTGAACGAGCTCGAGAATGCACGTGTGTACAACGTGGACGATCTTAAAGAAGTCGTGGCTGCTAACAAAGAAGATAGGCTCAGAAAAGCCATGGAAGCTCAGACGATTATCGCAGAGGAATCGAACCAGTTCGAAGCGTGGAGGGATTCGCTCGAGACAGTCCCGACTATCAAGAAACTGAGGGCGTATGCGGAAAGAATAAGAGCTGCTGAGCTGGACAAGTGCTTGTCCAAAATGGGGGAAGATATTCCGAAGAAGACACGAAAGGCTGTGGATGACCTCAGCAGAGGGATTGTGAACAAGCTGCTTCACGGTCCGATGCAGCACTTGAGGTGCGATGGAAGTGATAGTCGGACTTTAAGCGAGACCCTCGAGAACATGCACGCACTTAACAGAATGTTCAGTCTAGAAACTGAGATATCCGTGTTGGAACAAAAGATTCGAGCTAAGGTGGAGCAAACACAAACGTGAGTAAGGTTATATTCGTAGCTTTACTGGGTGTTTTTTGGATCCCGTTTCTTGGCGAAGCCCTCCATTGTGAATAAGCGGAGAAGTCCTTTGATTTGTGCTTTTTCTTGTGGTGGTGATTTTTTTTTTTGGTAGTAGTATATATATATTTATGGGAATTGATTTCTTGAAAATCTTTCCACACAATGATGTGATGTGTTACATTTGTTTGGAAATACTGAATACCTTTTCTAATTGGTCATATTCTTATATTTGTCCATGCATCTGTGTGCATGAATGTATGTCCAGCTTTGTACAATGTACAATATGTACTCTTGTTGTATGTGACTGTAACCTCTCTTGAACAGTATTTATCTTTGTAATAAATTTTAATTTTAATTTTTTTGAACACCTGTAATTCTTCTAGAACTTCATATATGTGAGTGACATAGGTTAGTAGGATAGGAAGGGGAAATTTTTAGGACCATTTACATTGACATGTAGCCTGCATCTTCTGCAGTTCTGGGAAGACAGTTTTTAATACAAGATTATTAAATTCAAGTAATGCAGCAATGTTTGGATGCATCTACAGAAATTAAGTATTTATAATCGTAGTTGGAGGGACCAATCTAGTTCAATAATTATCATAAAAAATAAAAATAAAAATAAAATGGCAATTTTTAAGTTGATTTAATTCTTGTCTGATGGTATAAGATAATATAAAGATGAAAATATGTGAAAAAATAAAGAAACAAAAGAAGATAGGGTCCATGCAACAAATCAAAGTGTACGTCGGCCTAACATAAAAGGGCCTGTCAGAAACAAATGTTTCCTCGGCCCAATAGTCTTTTCTTTTTTAATATTTTCTTTTAATCAATATTTTCCCAGTCAGATTTTTTTATTTTATTAAAAAACAAAGAATAAATTAAAAAGAAAAAGAAAACTAAAATCTAGCGTTTTCAAAGCCGTGCAAATCACTGACTGGTCTGTGAAAAGATTTCTTCATCTGAGCCACTTTCGCCAGCTTCTCAGTCGCTCTCCAAGCTGATGTCGGCGTGAGCGGCTCACCGTTCTCATCAACAAACAACCCCATTTCTCTCTCTTCATTCCTCCGCCCCACCGCCACCTGCAGCTGCTGCTGCTGGTGGTTGTACTGTCTCCTCCACTGCACCTCCGCCATCTCCGCCTCCAAAAACCTGATGCTCTCACCGGCAGACTCCGACCTCGACTGCAGCAACAAGGCTCGAGCCGATGACAACAGCTGCATGGCGCTGGACAGCTCGTTGTGCTCTATTAACCCCCGGGACTCGGCTACGGCTCTGTTACATATAAAAGCATTTCTCAGCCGTTCGATCCTCGGCGATCCTGATCTGACGGTCTGGGGCCTCGGAAGCAGAAGCGTCTGCTCCGGACCGTAGATTAGCTCTTGGGTGGCTGGATCTTTGTAACAGCATTTAATGGATGCAACGTGGTGTGACCCGACCCGCGAAGCTGGAACCCGAATTTCCACGAGTACTTCTTTTTCCTCCTCAGCGTAGAGATCTCCGAACCGGATACAACCCGACCCGAGTACAGATGGGTTTTCGGTACACGAGTAAACGGCCGTTATTTCTGCCGGGTCAGACCCGGATGCAAACCCGAGTTGGATTCTCAAGTCCTGAACAACCACGCTCAGTAACCCGGACACGCATTTGGAAAAGGCATCTTCGGCCGGCTCGCGGCTAAAGCCGGTTGAATGAACCGGTATTTCCACATGGGCGAACCGGGTCTTGTGTGACGATCCGTTCCGTCGTTGGTTGCTGTCGTTGTTGGCCGGAGCGCCGCCGTCGTCCTGGCCGTCGGATAAGAGTATTATGCTCGCGACGGGGTTCCGGTCGCGCCGCTCTTCGAGAACCCTAGTGGCTTCCCTCAGAGCTTCAGCCATGCTGGAGCCTTGGCTGCAGCTAAGCCGGTCAACGATCCGCCGAGCCGAGCGCTGACCCTGAGCCGTCATCCTCGTCAGCGGCAACAGCCTCTTAGGAGCCGCTGAGAAAGCCAGTACGGAGAGACGGTCAGCCGAGCCGAGCGAGGAAACGACCAAACGCATGGCTCGCTTGAGCATCTCCAGCTTGGCACCAGTCATGCTGCCGCTCACATCGAGGACCGTCACCAGGTCAATCGGCGCACGCCGCGGCGCGTCGCGAACGTGGGGCGGCGGCGGCGCCTTCACCTTCAAAACGACGGCGTACGTATCGTGCGTCCGCCCCTGCGAAATCACAGCAGCCTCCGGCGAAAAACACACCTCCACATCCCGTAAATCCCCGCCGAAAGCAGAGAAATCATCGCTAGAAATAGGATTCACAAAAAAACCCTGAAACTCTTCAACCTCCTCCACTCCGCCATTTCTAGCAGCTTCTTCCTTAATAGCAACAAATTTCCCACCAGATTTCGGCGTGACCAACGGCTCATCATCGGCGTAACTTTTCAGCTCAAATTGCTTGGTCAATTTAGGGCTAGAAATAGGGGTGCGTTTGGTTGGCGTACTGCAATTAGAATCAATTCGAACAATTTTTTCTTCTTGCTGTTGCGGATTGAGGTTAGGGTTAGGGTTCTGAGTGTAGATGGAGAGTAAAGGAACATCTTTCCAAACGGTGGTGCAAACAGGGCAGACGAGAGTGGTCTGGTTCCGCACGTGCGAGGCTATGCAGGGGAAGTGGAAAGCGTGCGAGCATTCCGCCGTGTAGATTGCCATTCCTTGCCCTGTTTTCACACTCTGCATACACACTCCGCAGCTATTCTGCACCCACAATAAAGACCACAACTTTTTTGTTAGCATTTATATATTTACATATAAATGGTTATATATATGTATAATGATTCTTACCCTGGATAGGCGGAGAGAGTTCTTGAGGATAGAGAAAGGGGATCTCGGAGAAGATGGATTCGAACCAAGCCGAGTTTTCGGTGTGGTTTTGCATTCCAGTTTTCTCGGGCTAACCAACACATCAATATTACCACTATTTGTTTTGTAGCGCAATCGGGGAGTGGAGGGATTGCTTCCAAACAGCTTCTTATTAGGACTCTGCTGCTTCTCCGCCGCCGTTACCGACGGAGCTGCGGCGGCGGTGTGCTCTCTTCTCTCCCTCGACACAGTACTGCAAAAAGCCCTCCTCCAACCGGTGCCCATTTTCCGGCGAACAAAAAACTTGAAAGAAGAATTGATGGGATCTGTCGAAGATGAAACCAGCCGCCAAAACCAGAGATTTACAGAGCAAGTACAAAAAAAAAAAGATAGAGACAAAGTAGTAATGAATAGATACAGATTCTTGTATTTTTAAGGATACGAGGAACAACAATTAATGAGAGAAACTCGTTATTGTTTCTTTCATTTTCCCTTTCAATACCAAATAAAGGCTTTCTCTTTGCTGCATTTGATTTGAGTGTCTCCCTCGTCTTCTCTCTCTCTCTCTCTCTCTCTCTCATTGTATACAGTCATATCTCGTATATATATATATATATATAGAGAGAGAGAGAGAGAGAGAGATGAAGGAAATGGTGAATAAATAATTAAATATAATATTTTCTTGAATATTAGTTATAAGAAGTAATCAACAGCACTTAAATTAAATGTAACTAGTAATAAAAGGGCAAGCAGCCCCACCCTGTGTTTTTACCCATGGGAGTAAACTTCTTTATTAGTATATTTGCATGAGCCAATTAAATCATGTTCATTCAATTTTTGTCCACAATTAGATGTTCACTTCATCCTTATTAATTGCTACTTGTCAATTTCCTACACTCAAAATTGATTACAGATTAATGTCACTCACTGCTCAAAAGGGCATAAATGAAAACAGAGTTAAATGAAAGATAAGCTTTTTTCTTCATTTCATGCTTCACTTCCATTTTTGTCTTCTGTTATTCCAAATTTAAAAAATAATTGAAAAAATGGAGGGGCAGAATGGTAAATTCAGAGCGAAATTCTTGATGTCAGCGTCCAGCTTGGCAAGATCTAGGTTCCTTAATTACCATATCACTGCGGAAGGTATCTCATTAATTGATCCTTTATTTTATTCGTTCAAATAATATATAAAAAATTGATCCTATATTTTAAAATAATTGTCTCGTGTTTGGTTGATACCTTCACCACCCCAAATAAAAAATTAAGATGATTTTTTTTTTTTTTTTTTTTTTTATACCCAATACATGGTTTATTTGTGAAAATATTTTTTTTTTAAATAAAGAAAAAGAAATAACAGCTTTTATATGCAGTGCCTTTTAACTCTATTTACTGCTGACGTAACCCCAAACACACACACCTACACACACATATATATAATATATATAAATATAATAACCCGATTTTGAAAAGCGTGATATTCTGGAAAACCCTAGTTGTCAAAATTTACAGAAGACTTTTTGTGACATTGGGGATTGTAAAATACTATCAAAACAATCTTTTAACCTAATCATAATCAATATAATAATCAGAGTTAGGCACTTTTAAATTCATTTTCTTACTGCTAATAGTAATTAACTAATAATTGTCGTCCTTAATTAATACACAACTAAGCCTGCCTATTTGCCTATTTTTCCCTAGAGTTAGGCCTCTACTTTCACTGACTTGTTTTGTTTTTGCACGTTTGCTTATCTAATCAACACTATTAATTATTAGTCTCTCCTTTTTTTTTTAATATATATTTTTATTTTTTATTGAGAGTAGAAACTTTGAGTATATTTAAATTTAAAAGAAAATAATCATAATTATGATATAATTTTATAACAAATAGTTCACATTCCCCCAAATGTCATCCATAGGTTTTGACAAACTAGAGTAATAGATGGCCAAATATTGATTCCCTAATATGGACACCATCTAGGAAAATGTGTTTCCGACTAATATTATCGGAGCCAAAATTTTATGTCGGGTGTCGATTGCATTCAATAAATATGCGGATTTTAATAGAGGGACGAACGATAATGCTATTATACATGATTTTTTTTATATTACAATATAAAATAAAACAGACTTGAGAGATGTTGGGGGGCCATGGCCCCCCTTATCCTATGCTGGTTTCATCAGTGTTCGTCGGTACATTATTATAACAATTAAAATCAAATTTTGTAATTATGTAATGAGCTTGAATTGAAAATTGAAATTGTAGGCAAGTTAAATGATTCTCCATCAAGAGCAACATCTTACCATAATGTTTGTAGTAATGGAAATTTCCAAAAGAATGAAATCAATATCACTAGTTAAGATTGACCCCAATAGTTCCTTAATCCAAGACACTTCCCACTAATAGTGGGACAATTTTTGTTGGTCAAACAAATAAATGGTGATTAGATGAACCATATTTAATTTATATCTAACTAAATTTTATTTTTTTGGGAAAATTCCAATTTATGACCAAATAATTTAAAAA